GCTCACGAAATAATTATGCTCCCAGATGGTAGCATTGATATTGACGCTGATCCTTAGACAGCTGAGCTTGTTGAATGGGAACAAGTGAATGATACGGCAATCCAAGTACTGAATGAAGCTGGATTTTATGGTGGCGAGATTTACCGAAGGTATGCTCCAAGGCTATCAACTTCTGCAACACCAGTGACAAAAGCTGGGACATGGCAATGGCAAAATGCGATTGGCACTCTAAAATACTCTAGTGAGCATTTTATTAGGACAAAAGGTGACACACTAAACAGTGACGACTACTTCATTGCTGAAGAACGAAAGAGGCGACAACAGCTTGTTAAGGATCTGGAAACAGCAAAGAAGAAATCCCAAGCAGTTAGTGAGTTGAATGGAAAGGCGGCTGCAGTGATTCAGGAATTGGTATCAAAGGGGAAAGATGTTTACAAGGAGGAAGATGCCAAGTCACTTCCAGTCTCAACACTCAGACTGTTGTGCCAGTGGAAACAACAGAAGAAAATCCCTGCAAAGAAAGACAGTGTATTTGGTATGTGGATGCAAGCCAGGAATCTCCCTTCTGCAGAGCCTTCCTGGAGGGACTCTAATGAACCTCAAATGCAGAACCTGAAGGAAGAAGATATCACAATCAGTTAGACTGCATTAGGAAGGGAGAGAGTTAGGCAACAAGAGGATGCTATAAACTGCCTTGCAGCCATGACTGAGGAGGAAAGAACTGCTACTAGAAATCTTCCTTCTTCAGTTCTGGAGGCTCTAAAGGGAGTGGTTGAAGTTGCTGAAGTGTAAGAGCAGTTTTGGATTTAGGAATTTTATGTTAAGAGAAATCTGTTCTTGGAATCAATTTTGATTTCAATTTTATTCCATGCAAATAAGCAGTGTCCGGATTTCGATTTTGTTTCGCCGACCTGAATTCTGAGAGGAAAAAAAGCTCGGAAAGTTCCAAGCTCGGAAATATAAGAGTGAATCCCAGTAGTTAGCGCCTTAAAGAGCGCTCCAGTAGTAAGTGCCTTAGAGAGCGCTCCAGTAGTAAGAGATTTAGTAATTTATGTTAAGAGAAATCTGTTCTTGGAATCGATTTCGATTTCGATTCTATTCCATGGTAGTAATAACTAGTCTCCGGAAGTCGATTTCGTTTCGCCAATTCAAATTCTCAAAAAGTGAGCTCAGAAACCTCCAAAATAAGGAAATAATTCGATATAAAATAGCTCCTTTTGGTTCCAGGTGGAACTAAGTGACAGCTTGGGCTCCAGGGTATAATATATCGCACTGTTCTTCACGTAGGCCTGTGTAGAAATAGTAGCTGAAAAAGGCTGTCATGCGATATTTCACACCACAATCTCGTACGAGTTTGAGTTCGAATTAAGACGTGACAGCTTTTTAACGGTAGGGATTCTACACGACTCTACGTGTGGAACAATAGTCTTAATTCACACCACAACAGGCAAGCTGTCACTTAGTTCCACCTGGAACCAAAAATTTAACCCGGTACACGCAAATTGTTACGAGGACCCACTGGAGGACGCTGATACTACGGGGGACGAGGATGATGATACGAGGAGCTACTGATACGAAGGAGGATGCTGATACGGAGGAGCTACTGATACTATGGGGGGGAGGGGGACAATACGGACGCTCGCTGAGCTGAGCTGATACGATACGGACGCTCGCTGAGCTGAGCTGATACAATTCAATTTTTCGTCGATATTTTAGCTGTTCTTAGATCTCCTGTTTCTTGTAAACCACTGGGTCGATCAAACCACTACTTCCGTATCCTTGAGCCCTTAATGTAAGGATTAGCCCAGTTGTCTTGTGAGCGCGATTGGTTGGATATTGATGAAGAACTAAAGAGGTGACAGCTTGCTATGCTGGAGGTTGTGTTAATTTTTTTCTAAAATTTTTTGGTGAGCAGAGAAATCAAGAAGCCCGAAAAGGTTTTCGAAAAAAAAACACCCAGCAATGTGAACATCTATGTGAAGAGAAAAGAAAACCCTTTCCGACTGACCGATTCTCTAATTCTGATTGGTGCTTTGCTAGCGTTAACAAACAAGCAAAGATAGCTCAAAATTCGGGCGTTTTATTGTACTCATAACCTGTTAGTAATCAATAGTCTTAATTCGAACTCAAACTCGTACTTACAGTTCGTGCCGATCCCCCCCCAACCATACCGGTACGTACTAGTATGCCGGAATCACTAGCACTGACGTTGTCGATGACGACAAACACTACGTACTGTGAGAGATCATACAGTACGTACGTACGAGTACGGGTATCATGTACAACGGACTTTTCAGAACAAGAGCGAAAAGAAATATTGACGATGAACGAAACCAAAGGATATCTGTTCCAACAAAGTGAACAGTATCTGAGCCATAGACGTAGTAGTTATGAGCATTTCATCAAGTACTGTACAAAGCTAGCTGAACAAAATCGCCCAAGATGACGAGAAGGGATATTACGGCGGCGGAGGATTCCAGTTTTGCGGTCCTCTCAACTGGAAGTCCAAAAATTGCGAAAAGTAGTGCTGTTCTCCGGGAAAAAAAAGAGCAGGAACGGTACGAACCTCGAAGAAGTAGGCGTAGGCCACCGCGGCTAGGAAGAAGGAATTATCTATACGATGACTCAAAAATCAGTTCTTCGCGCACAATTCTTACGTCTAAGATGGGAATATTTTTCTCCTTGCTGGTATCCTGTATTCATGCCTTCACCTTTTCGACGATGTCACAAAAGTCTTTCTCATCGCTCCCATCACCAACAGCATTTCCTGTCAAAGAACAACGAAAAATCCATTCAAATACAGTAGTTTCAAACCGAAGGAGGAYGATTTATGAGAGAATGTGCCATGCCGTGTTTGGAACCGGAATGGCGATGACGAAGAGGTTGGCATCTTCGGCATTAGTAGAAGCAATGGGGGATGATGCTAGTGTCAATTGCAATTGKTATAACGGTGATGACATTCTCTCTCGTTTATTTGGAAGTGTTGAGGCCCGCGACAGCTTTTTTGCTAACGACTTCGGAAAGAACGTCGTGCATATTCGACGGAGCACGAGCGGAAACGATATTAGAGACCTAAACCTTCCCTGCATCGACGTCAATGAGGACAGCAATTATGAGAAAACCAGCAAAATCAACATGAAGATTCTATTTGATACGTCTGAGTTTATTGCTTTGCGTATTCGCGGCAGCATGACCTATCTCAACAAGGYCGAAACGTCGTACGACGATTTTTGCGAGTACATAGGGAATAGGGGATCGGCTGTTATTCCCGTGGCGGAAGAGAATGYCCTGATGCCCTTTCGCAACCAGATTGAAGCATCGATGCGAGACCAATTGCASATGAGGCAGAGAAATTCTCAGGAAGTCCTGCATCAGGAGCAAAACGAGGTCCAGGCYGGCATTAATRTCTACCATAGCGGTCCAGGCGCCGTCGCTCTGAACCGCCATTTCGACCAGTATGACGTTTTTGTCTTGCACTTGGACGGYCACAAGGACTGGGAGATTGGTGTCTTTGATCCAGACCACGTTATCGACGATGACGCATTCATGGACACTACCAGCATTGACAAGGTCCGACGCTGGACCAATATGACCCTCGTACCTGGGGACGTGCTCTACATCCCGAAAGGAGTGTATCACGCTGCGACAACTGCGGACGGATATGAATCGACGACRCACGCTACAATTGGTCTGGAATACTAATCAATGAACTGGAGCACGTCAAAGAGATTTCTCCTCCTTACAGTCGATTAAATATAGAATCGAATCAACATAATCGAAAGGCTGATGAAACACGAGTAAAATTGAATCTACTSAAGTGGCAAAGAGGGTGCGGTTTAGTTCATCGAGTTAAAATAGAAATACAGCAGTGGAGCACGCAGGTACTCGGCGTATGAAACGAACATTGAATCTAGTGATCCATTTCCTTCCGAGCTAGCTATGACAAAGTAATTCGCTTAGGTGCGATTTCTTTCTGCTTTCAACATTTATTTTCTATCAGTTGGTTTGGGTGCAGGGAGCGTTGTAGATAAATATATATATATATATATATATATATATTGTAACGGCTTCACTACTCAATGCAAGATGTGCTCTGGTGAAGGCTTCACAAGAGAGCACATTCCATTACTCACAAACATCATGGCCTGTGTGCTCCGTTCATCATTTGAAACCATGGATACCGTGATACAAATATCAATAATAAAACCTTCCCTCCTATCCTTGCTTCCACCTCTTGCATACGACCAAATGTTAAAGCCAGCCCGTCAATCACACGTGTTCTTCTTTGTTTTCACAACTAGCCAATGACAARCTATTGCCATACTACATGAAAATAAACGATGTGCACGAATCTATGCCATGGTTTTACATGCCACAAATATCATCCCTCCCATGGCGACGACGATTGCTTCCATATCATCGCAAGTCCCACWAGTCGCACATATTTGTTGCCACAGGTTACGACTAATTATCCACAAACCAAAACCGTCAAATCATAGCCTTCCACATAAAATGCACGCAGASCTGTTTTACGCAATGACTGCGCACGAAACGTTTTTGAATTTTTTATTATCGCACCTATTCGAAGGTATTTTGGTATTTTGCTGGATCGAAAGCGAAAAGCTCTACGGTACCAGGTATCTTTCAAGACGCAGCAACGAAAGAGATGATTCTCTCACTCCAATGCTGCCTGGATGTACCGGTAGTGTCACCGTCATGAGATTCACATCCATTCATTGACTTGGGCCGGTTTTCAATCGTGTGCACGTTCTACCTTATTGCGGCATAAAGTTCTCGGATTTTTGAAAGATGACATCATAAGTGGGGTAAGTCGTGGATTTGATTCTKGAGATGTGAAWGGTAGAATCGCGACCACAATTATCCGTTGGTGGTTCGTCTTACTTAAGTAGMTKTTGGCGCCGATGGTCCTTTACACATACATTTTTTACGAGAAATATTAAGGGTACCGAACTGCACCTCTGCAGTTCAAATCGTCATACGATATCAACAGGGGTTGTGCACCTACTACCGGTACTTGTACTGTTTCGATGTATTGTATCGGAAGAGCTACGGAATCATTATTTTGTACGATTGCCGGTACGATCGCTCATCAGCCCACAAACCGCTACTCCGAAAAGATCTGAACGCATCCAACAGTAAGGTATAACGAGTAACCGAACATTTTGCATCASATAACGACATAATACAACTCGACTCAGTGTAACACATCCACAAAAAAACATGAAGTTCCATCTTTGTCTTTCCTTGCTCTCGATTGCCTTCATCGAATCGACTTCGCCTGCCGCTGGTGCTCAAGTAGAACTCATGCCCGAAGGCGAGGAGATTTATTACTTCTCACCTTCGGAAACTGCCGCTGCTGCTACTCCCCCTGAGTGCAACAAGGAATAYGAAAGCATACTGGATATCTGCGAAGCCGGTGCCTATGATCTCACTGAATTTTGCCGACTCCTCKCATTCGTGAACTACTTGGATCTCTCCGATAGCAACAAGTCCTTCACTATATTTGCCCCTACCGATGAGGCCGTAAGTCGCCTATTCGACGACGTCTTGGATTCCAACGGAATCGGTTCGACCCTGATGAGGGAAATCATTCAATCTAATTACATCGATGGCCAGGTCGAAACTAGAGATCTTGAATGCAACTCCAAGCCAAACGTTGTATCCAGCGCTGGGARAGATCCGCMGATCAAATGCAAGGTCGACATTACGGGAAATACTGTTCCCTATATCAAGGGGAGGGGAAATGCGCGTGGTTACATCCCACGATTTACCGACCCTCAAAACCCCATCTTGACTTGCAATTCGAATATCTACAAGATTGATGAWGTGGTGTTGTTGACTAATTACGTTTAGAAAATGAGTATCAAGATGCCCTTGGGGTTTGTTCCTGTTTTCAATCGAAACGAATTGGTAGAGGGGCACAGTAATGTGCATTGTAAMCMCTCATCTTGAGAGCAGATTTGCTCATCGAATCATAGTTTCATCTTTGGATTACTCAATTCCAATTGTGCACGTGTAYTAAGTCTACAAATTGAATAGATTGGATATTACCAATTGGTAATGTTCAAATTTTTAATTATGATTGTTACTCACCATCAGCGCACACAATTTTCAAAGTCTAGGTTTTAGAAGAATCATGTAGTTGGCAATGCGTCAAATTATTTGAGGAGCATTTATTTAGCTTGCCACTCTCCCACTATGGGCATCGAAGGTACGATCCGTGCTGCATACCAACACCATGGATAAGTGTATGAAAACAATCTGCATGATACTATTACATAGTTCAACTACAACCGAAGCAAAACGAACGGATGACCAAATATCGATATAGTTAATAGCTACCTGCCTCGATATTCCGATATACGTTTCACCAGCCAGCTCATSAGTCAGTTGTACTCATTTGGTTCATACTATTTTGATATTGAAGCAGTTGCAAACACTGTTTTCTACTCATCCAATGTCCAGAATATGAGTGCCATCATTGTGAATTCAATMCAACCATACCGAACAATAGGATCATTCTATATGGCTGTGAACCTAAGAAAGAATTAAACCCAGTAGCAATGGCAATGTTGTTGGCAAAGGGGTTAGTATTAYGGAGTGATRGASGCTAGGAGAGAGAGGCAAACTTGATTTGCTGTAAAATAATGAACTGAAATATCCATTCCATGTAAGAGCTGTTGATCACAAAGAAAGGTACCAGTGCTATAAATCTTGTTTTTTGACTGGTTTGATCAATTCATGAGCGGCTACTGCTCGGCAGCGTCTAGSTCACCCCACTACTAAGATTCTCKTTCACAAAGGACATTCTACCCACACAGACCGAGTTGACCATGGAAATCATGTATACCATACCGGTCAAGGGATACGTGAACGCGGGCATATCCGCCAAAGATATGGCTGGATGCAAGAAGTCGAGGCCAATAAGTACCCACCAGACACGCTTCATGGTGGTGTTCGAAATGTCTCGTGTCATSTCAATATTCCCCTTCCGAAGCTGGAACTGACCAGCAAACAGCATGATGAAACCGTAGGATACAACCGAAACAAAGAGATAAAGTCGAAAGTAAAAGAAATTTTTTTCTTCCCAATGCCAATAACTCATCCCAATAACAGCGGCTGCAATCACGGATGTACCGCACATCCAAAAAACAGTGTTGCGGACGTTGTCTCGACAGATTAGGTGCAAATACGACCAGGTCATAAGAGTGATAGCAATAGTACCGGTAATCATCCCTGCTTTTGCCCAAACACCAAATTCATCATTTAAATTGTACCGGTGAAGAGAGGTCGCGCAACTCAGCAATTGTATGGTGCAGGCGGCCAACATAAAYTGGGCGGCCCTGTTCTTACGGAGGTAATCGAAAGCGTAGCCTTCAAAGGCAACGAGGACAACAACGTTGATAACGTTGAAGATAAAAAATCCGAAATGACCGACTAGAAAGCTAATGTTCCGTTCCGATGAAGTGAGAGGCATGTTTTTAGATGTTTCTATGAAGTTATCATATCCTCCACCGTTGATGGTACGAGAAAGCTCSTCAGGTGTCATGTTCCCGATGTACCTTGAAAGGTTCTCCAGCACTGTGGCATTTAATGCATCGCAATCAAATGGCGCCATTTTTCTATCCGATGGGTTTCTATATTGAAATCTCTTGTTCTWTTTTGTCGTTCAGTTCAACTCCAGTTTGCTAATCCTTGGAATCATTCTATTTCTGTAGTGAGTAGTGATGAGATTTCGGTAAGTACTTGGTATCCTTTTTCGGAACGGTACCAGTACTCGTACGAACTCGCATGCAGGAACCATAATTGATTATTGTAGAGGGGTGCGCGACGCATCCGAACTCATACAGTATTCCATCCTCGGATACTACTCGTACGTACCGTACCTACGCGTGTCTCAAACTCAACTGGATTCACGTGAAGAAGGGACAGACCGAAGGAGATCGAGAGCCACGAAAAAGATAGGAAAACAAGCAAATTAGCTGAACAATTCTGTCCAAGCCATCACAAGGAAGACAATGAAGGTCGAAGATGTAGGAGTATAGTGAGAACGCAGTACTTACTTCATACCCAACACATTCTCATTGTTTTGTAAACTACAGATTTGGTATCAGTAGCTAAGAGACCAAACTGGAGGAGTTACACTACTAAATTTTCTTCTTCATGAATTCGCCGCTGGATGACTTCATTGCGGCTTCCGCCCCTCGTGATGTGCCCTCCCTGGTGAACTCCTTCCCAGCGAGTCACGCCGGGGGCGCTTCTTTTTATGATGGTGAGTCTATCTCCCTTCCGGTTACGGGGGGGGATTCGTGTTCTATTTATTCTATCATTGTGTTAGAAAGACCGGAAGATATATGCGGAGGACAACTTCGCCATAACGAAACTGCTTGCATCAGACCAAGGCTGACGTGTACATCCAGCCACAGAGGTGAAGGGAGATTAGCCTTGTCAAAGGAGGCTGTAATCGCTGTTGTCTCCAGAAACAAAGAGACTATCTTCAGTGTGCCTCTGTTAACGGCCTCATTTGTCGACGAATCCCTAATTAATCACTGGCTGGAAGAAAAGAAGACCAAACTCGAATGGAACAAAAGCTTTGATGTAGTCCGATACTTATTCACTGATCCAAACAAGCCGGTAACCGTGGACCAATATTTAAGGCAAATCGATACTCAATTGAAGGCCAAAGTAGCTCTGAAGACACCAGCAAAATGTCGGAAGGAACTCTTCAATACTTTGGATAAGACCGATGAAGAAGAGATAGTCTTTGCTCCTTACTTAAAGTTAGAGCCAAGCAACCAAACAGATGATGTGGAAGCTTGGCTTGACCGTATGGAGAGATACATAGTACAAGAAGCTGAATCAGGGGAAGAAAGATGGGCTTCCCTGAAAGAAGTATTGCAAGATAATGCATCTACAAGCAAGTTTCATACCACTCAAATCAATGCGATAGATACCATGGTAGGTGTCCGCAATCCCAGAACTTTTCCTCAAGAATTCGATGGGACTGATCTTTGGTCCACAGTAGGAGCAATCGGGAGATCAGTAATCACCGACAGTAAGAAAGATACCGACAACTTAGAGGACCAAATTTATGAGCGATGCTCCAGGAGTATCGCTCAAAAGTATACAGGAATAGAGCAGTTCAACAAATTCGTGAATCATCTAACAAACTGGTTTGAATCGTATCACCAAGACAAGTCGACCATCTGGAATAAACTCAACATTCTGGAAGCAAAAGGAAATGGGAGTGCTCAAGGGCATTTCTTTAACCAATTCCAAGGAGTACACTCTTCCTTTATGCACCAACCAACCCACAATGAATCAAACAAAGTTGCTGGCCCCACCTTAAGGAACACAGGGATCTGAAGGATGAAGTGGACAAGCTCAAAGCCTTGATAATGAAGATATCGTTGGAAAAGGACCAAGTCTCCATCAAGTTTGGTTCACTTGGCTTCACCAATGTAGATGATGCAAGAGCATTCGTAGCAGAACATCCCGAAGCAAGAAACTTTGGATTAATCATCGATCCCTATTCAGTATGCTATCATGTAATGAAAGACACCAACGGAAATATAAAATTCTTTGATAGACTTCAACACATAAAGAAGCTAGGAATTGGGACGAACCGTGAAGCCATCGTCATGCACGGATTCAACAACCCTATCCCTGAATTATTTGGAGTGTCCGGAGATCAACTAAGCTCACCTCACTTGTCATCTTTCAGTAAGTTTCCCACTTACAAGGACTGGCTTATCAAAGGCAAAGAGCAGATCCCACTAGGGATAACAAAAGTTAGGTCTCAGTTAAATATCCATGCGGATAACTTCCTAAGGCAAGGAAGCAAAGTGCACACTACGTGTAAATTATCCATATCGGAATCTTGTGCAGCAATGGAACAGTTCTGTTCCTGGCTCAATAAGTCTCACAGCAACCTTGTTACATATGGGATGTCACAGGACAAAGCCTGGATACTTACCACAAAGCTCGGTGAAAGAGTATTTCGGGAACTATTCGTGGTACGGTCGGGTGTTGCCGACGGATTCAATGTGTGTGGTGAAGATACTTCGAAGATGGATATAGCAGCAAATGTTTGGTACTATGTACCAAAAACACTGGATGTATTAAAGACCTTTGTTGATTCCGATTTTGGTGATCATGAGTCCATAGCCAGCGAGTACATCCGGTTCCTTGTCCACAACACAAACTCGAGTGAGGTCTCTACGTTCGAAGCAAGCATCTCAGAATTAAGGGACCAGATGAACAACTCAAAGAAGTATTGGGACAAGGAATTTAAAAGCACCGCTTCGACTGCTGAGAGCTCGCAGAAAGCAGCGACTACATTCCTTAACAAGCTGAATGACCAAAATAAGAAACTGAAAGAATGGGCCTCAGGGCAATTTGCAAAGAAATGACTGCCACGGGATACGCGATTACCACCACATATAAAACAACCCTTATTGCCTCTATCCCCAAATTCTTCAACTGTAGGTGGTGCTGAAATCCAGTCTGGTCACAATCAAGAACTGCGATCAGGTCTAGTGTTTGCTCACGGATACGTTGACGGCGGTCTTAGAGCAAAACACATAGTCGTAAGGGGTAGGGTTGAGGGATCTCATGCGTACACCTGGCTCCTATCTCTCAGACCTTGCCAATGGATTATGATATTATCCGGGACCATCCCTGATCGATATCGAAAAGCAATACACAAAGCGTGGGGTGACAAGCTTATAACCGACCCCGAGATAACTCCAAAAGCTCACGATATACATCTCTGTTCGGGTAATGGACTAGAATTGAAGGCGTGGTTGAAAAATAAATCAGATACGCCAGGGATTTTCAGTTTACAAGGAAGGGTTAGAAGAGTCCACCTTGATAAATCTACGACTAAAAGCTACTTGGTCGCTCACAAAATCGTAGGAGGTGTCACTGATGCCATGTCAAAGTTTTACATACGAAACTGTCCAGATCTGCAAGTACCTCATACAGTTCCACGATCTGTGGGATCTGTACTGGATCACAAACGATACATCTCTCTCTCACACCAACCTGAACAATTCATACATCCAGGTGAGAACTTACCCATCAGACATCCCGATATCGACATAAAGATACCC